ACGGAGGAAAAAGCAGGTAAAGCCCTCGCGCCGCGAGACACAAATTAACGAAGAATCTGCTGACGGTACGGAACATGCGGCCGATTGAAAGAGCGTCCAGTTTTAATACCTTGTATTAAAAAGAAAAAAAAAAAGAGGTAATAATTTCTACCAGGTTTTCCTATGTACTTGTATTTCACGGGAAGTACAGCCACCTTATTTATAATCAAAATAAAAAGATAGTTTATTGTGTACGACGCGTAGTTGGAATTAACTTTCTTCACCAGACTGCACGCCGTTCTCCGCTCGCGCCCACCCCCGCAAGCCCACGCATGAATTCCGTTCCACGCTGGGGAAGCTCGCGCAGGAGGGGATGCGGAGAAGGTGCGTGTGCGCGCAGGTGCGGGCGAGTGTGCGGGGGTGCGCGGGTGCGCGCCCGGCCGAGGCGCCGGGGGGTGGTGGGCAGGGAGGAGGACACGGTGGGTACCGCAAGGAGGTTAGGCACAGAGCATCGAGTGCAGCAGCTGGCACCGGGCAAGCCCGAAACACGCGTGACTCGCTGTCTCGCGGGTCTCGAACGTTCCCTTTGCGAGTGTGACCAAACGAGAAGTCCCCCGTCCTAGGAGACCTGGCGGCGTGTTTTCCTTCGCGGCTGCTGCTTGGTTTCGTTTGTTTTTTTCCTTCTCCAGATCCCCCCAGTTAACCCACGGAAGCGAACGGCAGTCATCGAAAGGCCTCTGAGTTACAGAGGTGTTATGAAACGCTCATATTTTTGAAGAGAAAGAAAGCAGCTCTCCCGGGATGGAAACAACCCAACCTCCGGTTTAAGTGGCAGCTTTCGAAAGCTCCAGTCTTTTATTTGTACTAGATAGCCGGTGTTACTCGGACACCGAGTGCTAGTTTGGATGGAGAAAAAGGGAAATAGAAAAAAAAAAAAAATTATCGGATTCTTTCTACTCCCCCCACCCCTCCCCCTTTATTTCTAAGTGGAGAACATCACGTGTGTCAACAGGAATTTCGAGACCTTTCATTCTTTATGTTACGTCCTGCTTTATACAGCGACGTTCTCAACTAACCCAAGGAATATTTTTTTTTTTCTTTCTCCACGGAGAATACTCGCTTCACACCTACAGTATCACGCCCAGCATGGCGGGGGGGCCTGCCTGGAGCTTAGTACGATTATTTCTGTTAAAAGGAGAAGGTATTGGGAATCACTGCTCTGTGGCACCGTGCTGCCGGCTCCCATGGAGGGAGCGGGCCCAACGCTACGGGTTTTTTTTAAATTAGGGTTAGTTTCTCCTGGAGTTAACACACAAGACCGAGGAGAAAGTGCTGTGGTGAAGTCGACATTTCCCCTGCAGTTGTAATTAATGTTCGCGTCCTTTCAAACACAGAAACATCAAAGAGCGAGGAGCACTGAAAGGCATCAATACAGCCCAGAAATATTGTATCCCCCCCCCAATATTGGAGTTAGCATGTTCTATTGAGATCCAGCTAGTGACTTTTCATTATGGACTTCGGGGGAAATAAATGAATTTTATTGTGTCTCCACAACCTCATAAACACATATTTGGTGGTGGGTGTAATTACTGTAATGGATTATTATGTACACTGACTTATCTTTCTTAAACTAGATTTAGTTTCGATTAAATAAACTCGTTTCCACTTTGTCTGATGTCGGCTTAGTTTAAAGTCTGTTTACTTGTTCCACAGAAAGGTGAATTCATCTCTTTATTAAGCACTAGAGACCGAGCAAACACAGTTCAAACTGTATTTACATATCAATCAGGAGAAATGCAAACAAACTGCTCTTTAACAATTTTATAGATTTTTTTTAATGACATTGTGTTATTGCCTTTTATCATAAAATTCTTTGTATAAACCAGTTATGCCTTCATTGGGATGAAGATATTTCGGGGGCGTGGGGGTACATTGTAATCCCCGGCTTCCCTCGAGAACACTCACGAGAACTTAGTCACTGTATAGTCTTTCGAAATTAAAATGCGTGCCTCCGTCTAAGCGCCTGGTTCTTCCAATACGCTGATTTCCAGTCTCCCAGTAATCAATGCAGAACTTGGATAATGGGATGGCGAAGGGGGGGAGGGGGGGGGAGCATGATTCACGTCTGAAAAGATGGCAGAAATGCACGTTTCCCGATACAGCCGCCCTTTTACCGACGCGAGACCGCGGGCACCCCGTGTTTGGAGAGCCGAAGGGGCCTGGCGAGGGGTGGCTACCCCCCACCGCTCCCTGGCAC